ATGTATATGTAACATATATATATATATATATATATACAAAAAGCGTTATATATTAAGTTTTTATCAATAATTGAAATATTATTAAATTATTATCTATATATTATTTTTGGTTTATATTATAACTTAATTGTGCTCAATGTTAATGTTTTTACACAATTATGAATTAATTATCTCAATGTTAATTTCTTATTTTCGATAAGAATATTCGATCTTTTCACACAATCCTTTTAAGAAAAGAAAAATTTGTATTATATATTTAATATGGTTTATTTAACATTACTTTAATTTTCATTTAGTTTCTAAATTGTTAAATTAATTGAAATTAAATGAAAATTACGAACTCCAATGACATTTAAAAGAGCGACTGCAGCTCCATCTTCTAAGTATATGTGAGTTTTTAAGGTACTACATTTCATTTGGAAATGTGAGTTCATCCTTCTATTCACTTTTACATAGTCAGTGCTTATTTCTCATTTCGATATATTCGACTTTTCTCAAACTGTCTTTTTTAAGAAAAGATATGTATGTTTGAATTGTATTCCTTATTATTATAACTTATTTGTCTTGATTTGTTTATATATTTATTTACACCGATTTAATTGAATTATGAATTAATAATTATTATTGTAAAAATTATAGAATAATAATATTATATAATATATTATATAATAATTATTATTATTATTGTTTGAAAATAATGTATAGGTATTAAATAAATTTATATATATGAAATTTATTCCTGAAATTTATATTATAATAGATTTATGTTATATTTATGTTTGAATCGTATTCCTTATTATTAATTATTTAATTATATATTATATAATAATTAATATAACTTATTTGTCTTTATTTGTTTATATATTTATTTATACCAATTTAATTGAATTATGAATTCATAATTATTATTATAATAATTATATAATAATAATAATATTATATAATATATTATATAGTAATTATTATTATCTTATTATCCATTGATAATTATTTATTATTTATTTAAATAATTCTTCATTTTCTTTGACGGTTTATTATTATATTTTTTAAATATTTATCGCCTATATATATTTTTTTAGATTATGAATTATAATATTACTATATATAATATATATATATATATATATATATATATATATATATATATATATATATATATATATATATAATATATATATACATATATATATATATATATATATATATATATATAATATATATATACATTTCAAAATTTTAAATTAGACCCACTTATGAGAGATAAAATATTGTTAGATTGCAACACGTTTTTCTTTGGAACTTCTCGACTTTGAATATGGGTGATTTAACGACTCGCATGATTAAACCCCAATAAATTTCATTTGACATAAATCTCACTTGATATAAAATCATTTGACGAAAAATTAATTTGACATAAATCTCATATGACATAAATTTCGCTTGACATAATTTACATTTGACATGAAATTCATATGGCGTAATTTCATTTAATATAAAATTTATTTCACAGAAAAAACTTGGTCTCAAAATGGGTAACTTACGCTACTCATTTTGAAGTGCACCAAAAATGAGCCAGGTTGGTGGCGCCACTGTCTATGTCGTTTAGCATTGGCTCATTTTGACATACAACAAAAATAAGACTAGGTTTTTTCTGTGTTGACATATAAAACTTATTTGATATATTCATTTAACATTAAACTCATTTGTCATAAAAATTTTTTCGTCTTTCCTATTCCCAAGTAGAAATGTGCCACTGGCATAGTACTGACCCAACACTGCCAGTCAGTATAATAGTACTGACTGCCGTACTGGGCCAGTAGTGGACCAACCCTGGCTGGTAACGCTGTCCAGTACTGATTTTGTCCCGCTCACCAGTACTAACGTAGTACTAGAATAATACTGGCATAATACTGGCAAAGTACTCATCCGGACTTAAAATCTCACTTTTTTACAAAATGCTAAAACACGCTTTCCAATGCAAATTTCATCCTTATTAGCTTATTACTCCCTTTTTTACCACGAACAGGTAATGTGAAGCCAATAATAGTTAATGTTATTTAGAATATATAAAATATTATTAACAATAAATAATTAAAATAATAATTATCATTTATATTAATTAAATTATTTTATTTTTAATAAATTATTTTACAAAAAATAATTTGTGTTGTAAATTTTTTTATTTTTTTAAATTCATAATATTCAATTTTTTTTACTTTGCACTTATACTTAATTTAATAATTATTTAATAATTGATATTAGACATGAACAAATATTGTACTTATAACACTTAAAACTAAGAACGAAAAATCTCGCACGCATGGGGGATCGAACCCTAAACCCTTAGAACGCAAGTCAGATACGCATACCGCACAGCCGCGCTGGCTTGAAGTGCTGACTTGAAGTAGTTCGCCTAATACAAAAGTTTTGATTTCAAAGTTTGTATTATCTATTGATCACTAAAATAAAATGAATTTATTCTTAAATTTTTTAAACTCACAAAATTTTTTCAATTTTTACAAAGATTTAATGAAATAAAACTGGATATCAATTTCAGTTAAATATTTTTAATAAATTATTTTTACCGTAAATAATATTAAAACAGACAAAAATGATTGATGAATTACATAATTAAAAATAAGTTAATAAAAGACGACTGTAAAATATGTATGAATGGTAAAAAATTTTTTAAATTTAATATTTAATTATTAATAATATTTAAAAATTACAGTGAAAAAATTACATTTGCTTTATTTTTAAAACTATTAGAAAAAAATTCTCAACTTATTGTTATTGCGTATGCATGATAAATAACTTAATGCACATATTTCAATGAGTACTAAAATAACTAAAAAAACATAAATATATTTTATATAGGTAAATAATAATACATTACAATTACATCCAAAATTTTGAGGGAAAGTATTCGAAAGAAATTAATATACATTTTTTTAAATAAAAAATCATCGTTTTCTACCTATTGGAATAATTTAAAGACTTTTTCATTTAATGTTTTTTATCACCGACATAGTACTGATTCGGTGTGAATGACAGTGTACTGCCAGTACTGGTTTTAATATTTTTTTACCTCCGACATAGTACTGATTCGATGTATTAGTCAGTACACTGCCAGTAGTGAAAGTCAATACCGACAGCCAGTATTGGATCAGTACCATGCCGGTGTTTAATTACGGCGAGCTACGGATATTTCTACTTGGGTTCCCACACACGTGAGACAAAGATAGATAATGCTTTTTTTAATGAAAAATGACTCATTTCTTAATATTTTTAATTAATGTTAATTTTTTGATTACATATTTGAAATCCTTCAGTACTTAATGGAAATTTATTATTAATCACTTTTGACTGAAAATTTAATAGGAGCAATAGATGTTTTTGCTTTATATCTATTATCATCATCAACATCATCTGCTTCTTTCTCTTCTTTAACAT